AAAAAAAAAAAAAAAAGAAGTCAGTCACAAAAGGCCACATTTTACACAATTCTGTTTACATGAAATGTCCACAATAGGCAAATCCAGAGAGATAAAAAGAAGATAAACAGTTGCCAGGGATGACTGCTTCTGGGCAGGAGTTTCTTTCTGGGGTGATAAAAATGTTCTGAAATTAGACAGTGGTGATGGTTGCACAACTCTGTGAATATACTAAAAGCCATTGAATTGCAAATTTAAAACAGATGAATTTTATAGCATGTAAAATTTATATCAATGAAGCTATTATTAAAAACAAAACAAAACATAACAAGAATGAAGGCATGCTTAGAGTATGGTGTTGATCAAGGGTTGGATCCCTATATCGGCCAGCTGCCAAAAACAAAACAATATGAAACAAAACAAAAAAGACTGAAGGCTGAATAAAGACATTCCCAGAAAGACTAAGAGAATTCATTGTTAGCTGGTCTACCGTGCAAGAAATACGAAAGGAAGCCCTTCAGGTTGAAAGGAAGTGACACCAAATGGCAACCGGAATCCAGAGTAAGAAATAAAGAACACCAGAAGTGGTAAATATCTGGGTTAATATAAAAGACTCTATGAATATATATTTTTTCACATTTCTTCTCTTAACTTCTTTAAAAGACAATAATACATAAAGACTGCATCACTAGGTTTATAACATTCAGAGATGTAATATGATAAAAATAGCACAAAGGAGGGGGGAGGGAATAAAGCTATACTACAGAAAAAATTTTTTTTATTTACCAGAACTAAGTATTAATTTGAAGTAGACTGTGATGAGTTAAGGTGCATACTGTAATCCCTAAAGCACCACTAAGAAACTAAAAAAAAGAAAGAAAAAAATTGAGAAAATTTTGAAAAAAAAAAAAATCAACAGAGGAATTAGCAAGGTACACTAAAAATACTTAACACAAAAGAAGTCAGAAAGGAAGAAGACGGGCTGGCCCGTGGCGCACTCGGGAGAGTGCGGCGCTGGGAGTGCAGCGATGCTCCCGCCGCGGGTTCAGATCCCATACAGGACTGGCTGGTGTGCTCACTAGCTGAATGCGGGGGACCCCACCAAGCCAAGGGTTGTGATCGCCTTACCGGTCATGAAAAAAACAAAAAAAAAAAAAAAAAAGAAAGGAAGAAGAACAAAACAGAAAGGAGATAAATAGCAAAATGGAAAATGTAATTTTTACATCAATATCCATAATTAAATTAAATATGAACATTTTTTTTTTTTTTTTTAAAGATGACCAGTAAGGGGATCTTAACCCTTGACTTGGTGTGGTCAGCACTATGCTTTCCCAAGTGAGCTAACTGGCCATCCCTACATAGGGATCTGAACCTGTGGCCTTGGCGTTATCAGCACCACACTCTCCCAAGTGAGCCACAGGCTGGCCCTAAATGTGAACATTCTAAATAGTACACTAAAAAGGACTGTCAGACTGGATAAAAATGCAAGATCCTACTACTTGCTATTTATAACAGATATACCTTAGATTCAAAGACACAAATAAGGGCCGTCCTGTGGCTCACTTGGGAGAGTGTGGTGCTGATAACACCAAGGCCATGGGTTTGGATCCCATACAGGGATGGCCGGTTCGCTCACTTGGGAGAGCGTGGTGCTGACAACACCAAGTCAAGGGTTAAGATCCCCTTACCGGTCACCTTTTATTATTTATTTATTTATTTATTTATTTGTCCTTTTTGAGACTGGCCCCACCGCGCTCAGCCAGTGAGCGCTATGAGCGCACCGGTCATCCCTATATAGGATCCGAACCCGCGGCGGGAGCGCTGCTGCACTCCCAGCACCGCACTCTCCTGAGTGCGCCATGGGCTCGGCCCTTACCGGTCACCTTTAAAAAAAAAAAAAAAGACACAAATAAGATCAGAATAAAAGAACTGAAAAAGAATAATCAAAAAGAGCTAGAATAGCTATATTACTATCAGACAAAATAGAATTTAGTACACACAAGATTATTAGAAGCAAAGAAGAACATGTCATAATGATAAAAAGTTCAATACATCAGGAAGATATAAAAATTATAAATGTACAACAGAACCTCAAAATGTATAAAGAAAAAACTGATAGAATTTAAAAGAAAAAGAGACAAACCAGCAATAATAGTTGGAAATTTCAATACCTTACTTTCAATAATTTACAGAACAACTAGTTAGAAAAACAGTAAGAATCTATAATAATGATATCAACCAACTTGATTCAGCTGACATATACAGAATGCTCCACCAACTGGAGAATATAGTTTTCTAGTACACATGAACATTCTCTAGGATATCACAGGACAGAACATATGCCAGTCTCACTACATTAAAAAGACCAAGTATGTTCTTTAAACATAATGAAATTTAATTAGAAATCCACAATGGGAAAAAATCTAGGAAATACCCACAAATTTGCAAATTGAGTAACACGGATTAAAGAAGAAACTACAAGGGAAATTAGAAATTATTTTGAACTGATTTAAATGAAAACACAGCAAAAGAGAATTTATAGGATGCAGTGAAAACAATGCTTAAGAAAGAAATTTGTAATTTTAAACATCTATATCAGAAAAGAATGGTCTCTTGGGCCGGCCCGGTGGTGCACTGCTACAGTGCGCCGCTTGGGAGCGCGGCGGTGGAGGGTTGCGATCCCGTTGCCGGTCTCGGTCCGGTACGGGCGCGACACTGAGGGTTGCGATCCGTTGCCGGTCACGAAAAAAGACAAAAAAAAAAAAAAAGAAAAGAAAAGAATGGTCTCAAATCAGCAACATAAGCTTCTACCTTAGAAACTAGAAAAACCCAACAAAACTGACAAATCTTTAGCTAGACTAACCAGGAAAATAATCAGGGAAGATACAAGTTACCCAAATCAAGAATTGAAGAGGGCACATCATTACCAACCCCACAGAAATATAGAGGATTATAAGGGAATGTTATGAACAATTATATGCCAATAAATCAGAAATTTAGATGAAATGAACAAATTCCTGAAAGACATGAATGACCAAACTGACTCAAGAAGAAATTGAAAAATCTGAGTATACTTAAAGAAATTGAATCTATAATTAAACATCTTCCCACAAAGAAAAACCCAGGCCCAGGTAGCTTCACTGGTGACTTCTACAAAATATTTTAAGAAGAATTAATATTAATCCTTCACAAACTCTTTCAGAAAGTAGATGAGGAGGGAACACTTCCAAATTCATTCTATGAGGCCAGGCAAAGACATTACAAAAAAGAAAACTACAGACTAATATCGCTTGTGAACATAGAAACAAAAATCTTAAAAAGTATTAGCAAACCCAATCTAGCAACATATAAAAGGATATATGCCATGATTAAGTGGGAAAATGCAAAGTTGCCTTAAGATCTGGATATTAACTAATGTAATACACCACATTGAGAGAATAAAGGACAACTATATGATGACCTCACTAGATGCAGATAAAGCATCTGATAAAATCCAACACCCATTCATTATAAAAGTTCTCAAAGCTAGGAAAAAGGGAACTTCCTCAACCTGATAAGGCATCTATGAAAAATCTAAAGTTAACATAATATTCAATGGTGAAGGACAGAATGCTTTTCCCCTGAGGCAGAATGTCAGTTCTTATCACTTCTATTCAAAGAAGTACTGAAGTTTAGTACCGTATGTACATTTTAATCTCTTTTGATAACTACAAAGGAAACTACAAAACACTGTTGAGAAAAATTAAAGATCTAAATAAATGGAAAATTCAATACTCAGAGATAGGAAGATTCAATATTGTTTTGATGGCAGTTCTCCCAAAATTGATCTATAAACTCAATGCAATTGCTATCAAAATCCTAGTGGGTTGTTTTGGTAACTGGCTAGTAAGGAGATCCCAACCCTTGACCTTGGTGTTATCAACACCATGCTCTAAGCACTAGCAGGTTTTTTTAAAAATAGAAACTGACAAGCTGATTCTAAAATTTATAAGGAAATGAAAAGAATGTAAGAGGATGGCCAAAACAATTTGGAAAAAGAACATAGTTGAAAGACTTACACTTTAAAACTGCCAGGTTTTAAAACTTTATATAAAGTCACAGTAACCAAAATAGTATAGTATTAGCTCAAGGACAAGCATATAAACCAATGGAACAGAATTGAAAGTCCAGAAACAAATCCTTAAATTTATGGTCAATTGATTTTTTTGGTGGTGCTCTAACCAACTAAGCTAACTGCCCAATCCCAATTGTCTTCAACACAAGTATTAAAGACTGTTCAAGGCTAGTTAGCTCAGTTGGTTAGAACACAGTGTTGATAACAACTAGGTCAAGGGTTTGGATCCCTCCACCAGCCAGCTGCCGAGGGGGGGAAAAAAAAAAGACAATTCAATAGTGAAATAGTGAAAGGATAGTCCTTCCAACTTCCATACATTAAAATATTAACTCAAGGGCTGGCCCGTGGCTCACTGGGGAGAGTGTGGTGCTGATAACACCAAGGTCCCGGGTTCGGATCCCATATAGGGATGGCCGGTTTGCTCACTGGCTGAGCGTGGTGCTGACAACACCAAGCCAAGGGTTAAGATCCCCTTACTGGTCATCTTTAAAAAAAAAAAAAATTAACTCAAAATGGTTCACATACCTAATTGTAAAAGCTAATCTATAAAACTTCTAGAAGGAACCACAAGAGAGAATCTCTGTAATCCTGGGTTAGGATAAAGAGTTCTTAGATATGACACTAAAAGCTCAATCCATAGAAGAAAAATTGATAAATTGGATTTCATTAAAACTTTTGTGCTTCAAAAGGCACTGTTTTGAAAATGAAAAGACAAGTCGCAGGGAGAAAATATCTGAAAATCGTATTTCTACTAAAGGACTTGTATCTAGAATATATAAACAACACTTACAACTCAGTAACTAAAAGACAAACAATCAAATTAGAAAATGGGCAAAAGATGTGAATAGATATTTCACCAAAGAAGATATATGAATGGGTAATAAGCACATGAAAACATGCTCGACATCAATAGTCTTTAGGAAACCACAATGAGATATCAATACACACCCACTAGAATGGCAATAATCAAACAAGTCAAGAAAATAACAAGTGTTGACAAGGATACAGCAAAATTGAAACACTCATACGTTGATGGTAGAAATGTAAATGGTGAAGCCATTTTGGAAAAGTTTGGCAGCTCCCCAGCAGTTCTGCTCCTAGGGACATACTCAAGAGAAACAAAATATATGTCCATACAAAACTTTGAGCACAAACGTTCATAGCAGCACTACTCATAAGAGCTACAAACTGGAAACAATCCAAACGTCTACAACTAACAAATGGATAAACAAAATGCGGTATGTCCATACAATGGAGTTCTATTCAGTGATAAAAAGGAATGAAGTTGAATCTCAAAAACGTACTAAGAGAGAGCAGCTAAGCTCAAAAGAGTACATATTCTATGATTCTATTTACATGAAATCCAGAAAAGGTAAATTTATAGTCAGAAAACAGATCAGTGGTTGCCTAGAGCAGGAGGTTGGAGTTGGGATTTAACGTAAAGCAGCTCAGAGGAACTAATCAGGGTAATGAAAATGTTCTAAAACTGGATTGTGGCTATGGCTACACAACTCTAAACTTTTACTAGAAATCATTGAGTGGTACTCTTATAATGGATGAATTTTATGGTATATAAATTATAACTCAATGAAGGTGCTAACAGGAAAAAAAAAAAAGGGTGAGTAGAACTTAGTGTTGCAGATATCTTCCTAGACATCATATAAATATGGGAGAAGTGAGAACAGGGAAATGAGCTGGGTCATAACAGTGACAATGTATATTCATACATACATAAGCAAACCACCTTTCAGAGCACAGCTTCTGTGCTCTCTGCTTCAAGGTCCAGGGCATACCTTCCTTGTCCCACCAAATTAAAGGCTATTTCCTTTTTTTTTCTAAAAAAAGATGACTGGTTAGGGGATCCCAACCCTTGACTTGGTGTTGTCAGCACCACGTTCTTCAGTGAGCCAACCAGCCATCCCTATATAGGGATCCGAACCCGTGGCCTTGGTGCTATGAGCACCGCACTCTCCCAAGTGAGCCACGGGCCGGCCCAAGGCCATTTCCTTTTTGAGCACTTCCAACTCTTAGACATTCCTTTTCACTGCATCCCTTACACTATACTGGAACTGTTTTGGTGTCTGTTTCCTAGGCAAGACTGCAAGCTCCTCCAGGGCAAGGGCAGTATCTTCCTCATCTGCGTACCTCTAATGCCCAGCCAGTCCGAGGCATCAGTGAACGTCAAGTTAATGAAAAGAAAATGGGGTGGTTGGGGTGGGTAAGTGCAACTATGTGCCAAAGAAGCTTGAAAGTACAAGAGAGATAGGGGCTCAGAAACAGTATATATACTAATTTAGGAGTCAGGATAGATTTGTTTTTAAACTGGAGTTTACACCAGGCTACAAGTCTGTGTACTACCCTCATTTAAACTTATCTTCCTTGTATGTGATAAAAAATTCAATTTTATCTAGGGCAGCCAGTTCACAAACAACATACGAAACTTTCCAAGATCAGTCTGCTCAGCAAGCAAACAAAACATTAGAGAGATCTGATTTCCCTGCAGATACCTGACAGGATTAGCACAGAAGCCCAGATACAGTTCTTGTGCATCTGGGTTAGCGTTAAGTAGCTATCTCTGCAAAGGACAGTGAAGGGAGTCACACAACCAGGTCACACCAGCTCTTTCCATCCTCCTCTATCTCCCATCTCATCCAGTCTCAAATCCAGTCTCAAGTCAAATGCAGAGCAAGCTGGGAAGCTTCAGAGCAGAAATGCTCCCTGATGTGGCCTTCTACAACTTCAGCTCAAGTGTGGGATACAGAGAAGCTGGAGCCAAAGAATACCCAGGCCAGTTTCTCCGGCTTCTGGCCCCAATCTTAGAATAGGGATCCTAAGTAAGTAGAGGGCAGACACCTAGGAGCAAGGGTAAGCTAGGGCTCAGACACCAAGGCCAGCAGGAACATGGAGGTAAGGAGAAGGCCTTCCAGAGCCCTAGCAAGTGCAGGGCTTGAGAGAAGTAACTAGTCGAGAGACACGGGTGGAGAATCTGGAGACAGGGACGTTGGGGAGTCAGGGAGAAACGGGAGGGGTACTTGGCTTGGCTACGGGTCTGGCAAGGACGGTTCTGCGGTATCCGAGGGGACGTGAATAGGCATCACAGTCTCGAGTTTGGGAAAAGCTGCGCTCTGGTGGGTAAGAAAGAATGGGAGAAAAAAACCCAGGGCTTGAGCGCGGGGGTGCCTGTTAGGCAGCAAGAGCCCAGGAGTCCCCGGCGCATCACGCGAGGAGGCGCGCCGGGCGCTAGGGGGCGTGACCGTAGACCCGCGGGCCGGGCCTGCGAGCAGAGCGAGGGCTTCCTGCGCCAAAGGCCCCCGGACTCACCTTCCTCCCTCCCCACCGGCTGAGCGCTGGACACTGCTTCCCACAGGCAGCGCGCCCTCTCGCGGTCGACGCGCACCCCGTCCGGTTCCCGGCCCTCCCGCTCCTCCGAGCTGTTGTATGGCCCGGCCCTTCCGCCGTCCACGGCCTCCACGCTGCCCAACCCGGGATACTCCATCTTCCCCGTAAGCCCTAACCGGTCGAGAGCCACTCATGCGCCCCAGCATCGCGAGATGTAGGTGGGAGGACTTGGCCGGACCCACAAGTCTCGCGAGGCTTGGGCGTTGCAGACCGCGTCCTGGTGCGGGTGCCGGCGTTTATTTTTCTTTGGGTCCTCATAACGTGTGCTGTGGATTCGAAGTCCGGTTGCTGGTTCCACAGCAGCCCTCTCCCTCTCGGACAGGCTCGAGCGGTTCTTGCTCAGGGTTCTCAGTTTGGTTACTGTCTGCCTTTTTGACACTTGGCATTTCGTGGGAATATTTTCCCCTTTTCACTGATAGGTTTACCCAAGAGTTGGCTACTAGTAAGTGGTCGAGCTGGGGTTCTGTCTTTAAGTTTCGGTTACTGCTAATAATTGATACCATTCGTTGAGTTCCAAGTGCCAACCCCCAAGTCGGACCTTTCCCTAAACTCTAGACCCACAAGGATACTTCAAAAAGTTCATGGAAACTTTCGTATTATCTTTTAATTCTATTTTTTTCCATGGACTTTTGAAGTACCATCGTGTACCCAGTTGCCTATTCGACAGTTCCATTTGGATGTCTAACAGGCTTTTCCAACGCAACTGTCAAACTTCGAATTTTGTCTTCCAACCCCAGACCTGCTCCTCCCCTAGTCTTTCGGAGCCACCATCTCTTGCCTAGGCTATTGTAGTAGCATCCTCGCTGGTCTCTACCACTGCCTTTCAGGTAATATCAGCACAGCAGCCCCCGGCTTCCCATCTCACTCTTAGTAAAAGCCAAATTCCTTACTTTGACCAATAAGGCCATATACAATCTGACTTCCATTAACCTCCCTGACCTCATCTCCTATTGAATCACTCAGCCCTCAATCACTTAATTACTGTCCCAGTTACACTAGCCTCCTGAAATGCATTCTCCCATTTATCTTCATGTCTCAATCTCTCACTTCCTTCTCTGGCTACCCTATCTAAAATTTTACCCCTCCACACACACTTCATGTCACCCCTTCCTGCATATCACACGTAGTATATTTTCCTTTTTTCTTGTTTATTGTTTATCTCTCTTCTAGCAGGGAAGCCCCAAGACATGAATTTTTGTCTTTTTTCTTCACAACTGAATTCCCGGCACCTTGAAATAGAGCCTGGACCCTCCAGGTACATACAAAATTTGTTTGAATGAATGAAGTTTTTTTTTTTTTTCTTTCCCTTTTTGTCTTTTTTCGTGACCGGCAACGGATCGCAACCCTCAGTGTCACGCCCGTACTGGACCGGGACCAGCAATGGGATCGCAACCCTCGGCGTTGCTCCCGCGCCTCGCTCAGCCAGTGAGCGGGAACCGGTCTGTATGTGGGATCCGAACCCTCGGGCGGGAGCACTGCCGCGCTTCCCAAGCGGCGCACTATCCAGTGCGCCACCGGGCCGGCCCCATGAATGAAGTTTTTAATTACCTTATTTGAACCTCACTTATTGAAGTGTTTATTGAGAGTTTACTATGAGCTAGATGATATTTGGTGCATTGGGATACTGCAGTGAACAAGACAGACAAGGAAGCCCTAGTAGAGTTTTTTAAATTGTTGTGGAGGAGAGTATAATAAAAAACGTTAACAGATAGTAATAAGTACTATGACAAGATAAAACAGGAATAGGTATTGGGTGAATGATGTGGGAGGAACATTAGTCAGGGTGATCAGGGAAAGCCTAGGAAGAAATGACATTTGAGCTAAGACCTGATTAATGATAAGGTGATAGCCATGCAGAGAGTTGGGTATGAGTGTTCCAGGCAGAGAGAAAAGCGGGTGCAAAGGCCTTGAGGCAGTAGTGAGTTTTTTATGTTAGAAAAACAGGAAAAGGCACAGTATGGCAGGAGCCCAGTGAACAAGGGGGAAAAGTGGTATCAGAAAAGGTCTAAGAGAGACAAAGATTATTCTTGCCTGAAATCACACAACTCAGTGTAATTTACTCATTTATGCTATAACTGTTTACTTATTTATACTGTAAGTATTGAGCACTCACTTTATGTCAGGCCTCAGGCTCCAATACAACAGATGACTGATGTTTGTGCAGTGCTTTACGGTTTACAAAGCACCTTTGTCAAACTTTATAACTTTTAATTCTCAGGGTGGTTCTCCTATTAGGGATTTTTTTCATATATACAGTAAAGAAACAGACTGTGATGAGTCAAGGGTGACTCTGGAGTGAGCACTAAAGAATAACAAAATAACAAGTGTTTAAATAAATAATAATCAAAAACAAAGAATAAAAGTAGAATAATTGAAAATAATTGCTTAATTCAAAAGAAGGCAAGAAACGAGATAAATGAGACATAAAGGAACAAAGAACAGATGGAAGAAGCAGAAAACAAATGGAAGATATAGAAAAACACACTATGTCAGTAATTAAATTAAATGGAAATGGACTAAACACTCCAAATAAAAGAAAAAGATTGTCAAACTGGATGTTTCTTTTTTTGTTGTTTGTTTTTTGGTGGCTGGCTGGTATGGAGATCTGAACCCTTGACCTTGGTGTTACAAGGCTCCAAATGGATTTTAAAAATCAAACTACACACTATTTCTAAGAGAAACACTTTAAATATTAAGGTTATCAAGGCAAAAAGAACACAAAAGAAAAGGATGGAAAAACACATACCATGCAAATATAAACAGAAGAAAGTTGGTGTAGCTAAATTAATATCAAAGAAGACTTCAAGATAATAACTACTGTTAGGGAAAAGGAGGGGCATTTCACACTGATAAAAGTGTCAGTCTAACTGGAAAATATGACTTCCCTATTATATATTTAGAAATGAAATATATGAAGCAAAGAGTAATAAAACTAAAAAACAAATCCCCAACAAGCCCCTCAGTAATTTGTAAACCTTGGCAAAAATCAGTAAGGAAATAGATTGGAATACACTATCAACCACTTACACATAATTGACATTTATATAACACTATACCAAATAACTGCAAAATGCACATTTATTTCAAATGCAAATGGAACATTCACCAAGATAGACCATATGCTGGGCCATAAATCTCAGTAGATTTCAAAAAACTTAAGTCTTACAGAGTATGATCAGATCACAATGGATTTAAATTAGAAATTAATAACAATAAGGGCCGAGCCCATGGTGTACTTGGGAGAGTGTGGCGCTGGGAGCGCAGCAGTGCTCCCGCTGCGGGTTTGGATCCTATATAGGGATGGCCGGTGTGCTCACTGGATGAGCGCAGTGTGGCCGGTCTCAAAAAGGACAAAAAAAAAAAAAAAAGAAAGAAATTAATAACAATAAGAAATCTAGAAAAGCCCCAAATATTTGGAAACTAAACATCTCATTTATACAAAATTCAACATAAGGCAAAGTAATCTATAGTGATAGAGTTTAGAATAATGATTTCTTTTGGGTGACTACTGATTGGGAAGAGGCACAAGTGAGCATTCTGGGATTCTGGAAATGTTCTGTATCTTAACATAGGTGATGGTTATACGAGTCTAGTTATATATAAAAATTTATCCAAGATTTGTATTTGTACACTTTACTGTATGTAAGTTGTACCTCAATATAAAAGTAAATTAGAACAAAAGAGACATTAAATTCCCTAGTACCTAACAAAATGTCTAGTTCATGGAAGGTGCTTAATAAGTGTTTGATAAATTTCAAAAGGAGAGAGAGATAACAGATAGAATGAAAAAGTCTAACATACATCTAATACCATTTTATACCCACAAGATTGGCAAAAGATAAAGAAGTCTGACAGTACCAAGAGAGAATAAAATCAATGGTGACTTATGCTTTGCTGATGAGAATATAAACTGATAAAGCCACTTTGGAAAACAATTTGGCATTAGCTTGTAAAGCATAACAATCACATACTCTACGACTCAGCAATACGATTCCTAGGTATATATTCTAGAGAAACTCCTGCCCAACTGCTCCAGGATATAAGAATGTCCATAGTATCGCTGTTCATAACAGCAAAAACTTAAAACATCTCCAAAATGTCCCTCAACAGTAGTATCGATAAATAAATTATGGCATATTCACACAATAGAGCATTATCCCAAAGTGAAAATAAATGAACTATAGTTACTTGCAACAAAATGGATATTAGAAATAGAGTGTTGGGTGGACAGGTCACAAAAAAATTCAAACAGTTTGATACCATGTTTATGAAACTCAAATGCAACAAAATTAAACAGTATGTTATTTAACCATATATACAATTTTTTTTTTTAAAGATGACTGGTAAGGCGATCTTAACCCTTGACTTGGTGTTTTCAGCACCAGGCTCAGCCAGTGAGCTAACTGGCCATCCCTATATGGGATCCGAACCCGTGGCCTTGGTGTTATCAGCACCGCACTCTCCTGAGTGAGCCACGGTCCGGCCCTACATACAATTTTTTAAGCAAGGAAATTATAAACACAATATTCAGAATAATGGTTAGGAAGAGGTGGGATAATAGGTAATGTTCTATTTCAGATTGGATGATGGGTCCATGGGTATTCATTCATTATATTATCATTCTTTATAATTTATATGTAATATTTTGTATGTATTAAATATGATTTTAAAAAAAATTTTAATAAGGAAAAAGGGAGTAGAAAGTGTTACAGGAGAATGAAAAATTGAGTTGTTAGAAGAGAAGGAGTTAAGGAAAATTTCATGTAGTAGGTATGTCAGGAGTCTCCAGTTCCATCCCCAGGTATGATGAGTCTCTAGAAGGACTCACAGGACTCAGCATATAGTTGCAGTCAAGGTTATGATTTATTATAGCCAAGGATATGAAGCAAAATCAGCACATGGGATGAAATCCAAAGGAAATCAGGCACAAGTTTCCAAGACTTTTTACCCAGTTCAGTCACACAGAACACTTAATTCCTCCAGCATCTAATTATGACAACACTTGTGAACTGGTATCTACCAGAGAAGCTTGCCTGAGCCGAGAAATCCAGGATTTTTATCATGGGTCAGTCACGTTGGCACTCTCTGCCTACCATGTACCAAAA